ATGAAATAATTTAGGATTATTGGTATAGACTTTAATTAACATTTTTTCACTGAGATAATTTCTTCTTATTTCCAAAGGAGGTTCCAGAGCTTCCACGTGTAAGGGTTGAATAGGAGTAGACTTCATGGCACCTAACACTGTCCTTAGAGCAGAGTTTTGAAAAATATTGATTTTGTTTAATAGATTATTACTAGCAGAACCATATAATGTACATCCGTAATCCAAGATAGAGCGAATATAAGCTCTATAAAATAATTGAGCAATTTCAATATCAGCACCCCACCAAGTCTTACTAACCGATTTTAAAAAATTTACTCCTTTATTGCACTTATTCAGTGTACTATCAATATGGGATTTCCACGTCAGCTTCCTGTCCAGAATCATACCCAAGTACCTCGCTTCATTTTGAATCATGAAATCGTCGGGTCCAAACATGATGTTATTCATATTAGGTGAATTGTGTCTTGTAAAAATACATATCATATTTGTTAACTGATAATTCAAAGCCATTTGTGGTCAACCATCTTTGTAAAACTAAATAAATATTTTTTAAGTTTCTATGGCGGTTTCAATTTTTTTGTGTTCAGTGTAAATACAGAAATCGTCGGCATCTTGTACAATATTAAATGATAATGTATTATCTATTTGAATATTATATAAATCAGTTGTGTACATATTAAATAAAACAGGGCTCAAAGCAGATCCCTGAGGTAACCCTATATATTAAATCTAGGGCCTAGGACAGATTGATTTGTTCGCAAGTAAATTGATCTGTTGGTGTAAAAATTTATAATACTGATTGCAAATTGTTTTGGGATATGAAATATTTTAATCATTTTATCTAGGAGAAGTGGCAAAGACACAGCATCATATGCACCTTCGATGTCAAGAAAAAGGACAAGTAAATAATTGTTTCTTGAGAAATTGTTTTGAATATCTACCACCAAAGTACTTAAGGCATCCATTGTGCCAAAACCCCTTTTAAAACCATACTGAGTTTCTGGAAGAAGCTTTTGTTGCATTAACCACCATTTCAACCTAAACTTATTCATCCTCTCTAGAGTTTTAAGAACACATGAAAGCAATGATATGGGTCTATAAGATTCAGCTAAGTTAGGGTTCTTCCCTGATTTAGGTACGGGAACAACAATAATTTTTTTAAATGCTTCTATGTTAATGCCTTCAATTATTATTTGGTTAAATATATTTAAAAGTAGGTTTTTAGCAGTGTCTGGTAAATTGAAGAGCATAGGGTATTAAATTTGGTCATAACCAGGGGAAGTATTGTTGCGGTTGTCAAGTGCAAAATCCATTTCTGTTCGTAAGAAAGGGAGTAATAGGAAATGATTAGAATCAGTAATCTTAGTAACTTTGGGTATTGGGGTGCTTACAAACGGGGGTGCAATTTTATTGAAAAAGTCGTCTAACCATATATCCTCTAGGGATGAGGATTTGGGGTTATTTACTGATTTCCTTGCCATTTTTTTGCTTGATTCCAGATAACGGTGAATAGAGTTTGTTTGTTTAACGAGGAACACCATTTGATCCAACTCTGTTTAGCTTTAAGCTTTAAAAACCTTTTAGTACGAGCACTGGCTTCCTGACACTTGACAAAATTTTCATAAGAAGATGTTTGCTTATAAAGAGTTTAGGCGTTTTTCCTATCTTCAATAGTTTGGTCGCACTTCACATCCCACCAAGGAGGAGGAGGAGGTGGTCGTTTTTTGGCTTTAAAGTGTTTGTATTTTGGGATGGATTGGTAAGCTGCATTGTCAATGCAACTCATTAAAAAATTGTACTTTTCACTAGCATTTAAAGCATGAGGTGGATTATCATTTATGTATGTTTCAATTAATTGTGTGTATAAAGGCCAATTTGCTTCCTTTAAATTCCATTGACTTTTAGGGTAAATTATATCATTATTTTTTTCTGTATTTTCGATTTCTATTTTAATAGCAAAGTGATTTGATCCTATTGTATCTACATCTACCGCCCAGTTGGTTTTATTAAATATTTGTGGTGAACAAAAGGAAATATCTATCATAGAAAGGCTCCCAGGACGAGTTTGACAAGTAGGTTCGCCATTATTCATTACTACTAAATCTAAATCATGTACAGTATTTAAAATTGGTTGACCTACAGAATCGTTTTTTGCAGAACCCCAAATAGAATTATGCGCATTCATATCGCCTCCAATAATGCAATAATTTGTGAGAATAACTTGTGCCAATCTTCAGTTTTAGTTTGTGGGCATCTGTATACCGAGAGAAAATTTAAATTGCTGTTGTTATATTTTATTTTAATCCCACATGCGAGTAATTCATTATTAAAATTTTTATTGATTTCCAGTACCTCGAATTTAATATTTTTTTAATAAATATTGCGACTCCAGCATAGCCGTCGTCACGATCTTCCCGTACCAAGTGATATCCGGGAAAATTGTAGACAATATTTTGTTTAAACCAAGTTTCATTTATAAGTGCTATGTCAATATCTTCATTTAACAAAAAATTCATTAAACTATTTTTATTTGAAACTGCAGAGCGAGCATTCCATTGAATAATTTTTATTTTATCTTTTAAATCCATTGCTAATTTTTTTTAAAGGCTTCATCCAGTACCATATTTATATTTTTAGCAAGTGTGTCACCATCTATAAATTTAGCTTCTTCTATAGATTTAATATTTTTCAAAATTTCAGTAAAGTGATTGACCAGTGAGTTTATCAGAGTAGTTTTTTGTTGAACAAAGGTGTGGTAATTTGGTGGATATGGATTAGGTGGCAAAGGCTGAGAGGGCCCAAATCTGAAAGGAATAGTGGGTGTTTGTGTAGGAGATTGAGGAGTCGGAGAAGTTGCCTTCCTTTTTTTATTGTTATAATGTGTAGTTTTACTGTTACCAGGCTGTGTTAAACTGTGTGTTTGAAAGTGAGGTTTACTAGATGATGGTTGTGTTGAAAAAAATCTTTCAGAATTATTATTGGGAAGTTTTGGAAAATCAGCTTCCAGATTTGATAAAACTGAAAAGTTGTTTCTACATGTAAGTCCAGAATATGAAGATTCACAATATTTTTTAGCCTCTGAGAAGGAAATTTTTTCTTCAATCATATTTTTAATTTTTTTTTTGTTGTTCATAGTAGGGACAATTTTTAGAAATGGAAATGTGGTCTGTGCTTTTGCAATGTATACATAACATTTTCTGTTCAGAACATTGGTGATTGTCAGTCTTAACAGCACTACAACGTATGCATAATTCGTCAGTGCCTTTACACTGCTTGGAAATGTGACCGAATTTAATGCATTTGAAATACTGCGTAATTCTACCAATAAATTGTTCAACTTGAAAATGTACAAAATTAGCTGTTACAGAATTTGGTAAGATATTACCTTCAAAGGTAACTACGATAGTTTTTTTTGGTACATTCTCTATTTTTCCATCCCGTTCAACCTTTTGGTGCAACCTTTTGATATCAATAATACGAGAACTAGAGGTCATGTTTTCTTTTAAATATTCAATGTCGTATTTTGTATCAACGTCTCTAATTAAACCCTTAATTTCAAGTAGGTGATTAGGTATATACGCTTTTAAATTTTCTGTAATTAATTGTTTGTAACTAATTTATTAGCATCTAATATAGACTTTAATATAACTGTGATGCGGTTTCTACCGATACTTTTAATTTCTACAATATTATTGATTTTTAATTTTTTATGTAATATGTGACCTACTGTCATAGGGTGCAATCGGCCTATATTCTGTTAATTAGTGCTACTTTCAATATAAACACAACAATTGTGGAAATGTACTTATCTGAATTAACATTAAACAGTTTTATCACTTTCGTTTTTTGGAGGTTGACATTCGTCGTATCCGAATCCAGGTCCATTTCTTTATCTACATCGATAATTTCGCCACTAGTACTATTATTTAAATCACCCATAGGCGTCCTGTGTTGTGTCTCCCCCATCGGGGAGGAATATTGTTTTTTAAAATAGCACAAAATATAAAAATTAATTAAAACTAGCGAAAGGTCACCTGATAACAAAAGCGGTATAATTTCTCGCACAAGTATTCTCTACGAATGCTTATCCGTTACTGCTGAAAATACTTAAAAAATGAAGAATTTTATGATTTTCTTATGGACCCCATTATAAGATCTTGGGACCACCCCTAAGGTACCCTCCGATGAATTGAGAACCTCCTATTTTTTTGAAGTCGGTTAAGGTGAATACGGCACCCTTTTTAATTTTCGGACAAGGATATTTTAAAAAGTAATTTTGTTAAAAAATTTAAATTTTAACAAAATAAATTAGGTAATATTAACTAGATATGCCTATATTTTAAAGTTTTAATTCCTTTCAGTTTTCCGAGAAAAAAATCAGAGAGCTTTAAATTTTGAAATATGAAAATAAATGCATTCCTCAACAGCACTATTTTTAATATTATCCAGAAAACTAAGCTCTTATTATTTTGTTAATGATTTTTTAAAATTCGCCAAAATTAGTGGATACAACGCCTCGTTAAATGCTGCCTTCTGCTGTAACGCGCCTGTAACTATCTTATCGTATACTCTCAGTAATTATTCGTTTCTTGCAACAGTTTACACCAGAAGATAGCACTTAACGAAGCATTTTAGCCACTAATTTTGACAACTTTTAAAAAATCATTAAAAAGACATTTGGAGCTTATATTTGGGGATTATATTATATTAAGAATAGTGCTGTTGAGGAATGCATTCATTATCATTTTAAAATTTAAAGCCCTTTTAGTTTTTTTTTTTGAAAACTGAAAGGTATTAAAACTATATGCATATTCCAGATATTATTGCCTAATTTATTTTGCCAAAATTGAAATTTTTTGAGAACATTACTTATTGAGATATTATAAGGGGCTGTAATCACCTTAAAAATGAAGATAAATAAACAAAAATATAGATTTAAACGAATTAAAAAATTTTTTTCATAACAGCTAAGCTACAAATAATTAAAAAAAATTTCTTACGTCTGATTTCATTTTGATTTCACACTTATACTAGTTACAACAAAACTTTTAAAGAATGTCGTACGTTCAACGACACTAAAACATCTTACTAATAAAAATGTTACGGAAAATCAAAATGTTTTCCAAACTACCCAGTTTTAATTCCATTAGACATAATTTAAGTTATTAAATAATTGGATTATAACAAGTCTGACCTTGAGAAATACATAAAGAACATAGGGATTTTTATATAATACCCTATTACCCCAGTTCCGTGCTTTCAGTATTATGGACGGCGGCTTTTAGGAGGATATATCAATAATTATTTACTGAGTTTTAGGGGAAAAAAATGAAGAAATTAATATGGTTTTTAAAAGGACCATGCAAACGACTTGTGTAGAAATGGGCTCCGGCTCAATATGAAATTTTGGTGTGTTATTTTTTTGTTTGCCGAATTCAAGGGCACAATTCAATCCTACGAATTAGCCATTTTTTAAGAGGGTTTTTTTTAACAAAGTACTTTGATTACAGATATTTTTCAAGAAGAATACTTAACTAATGTCAAGGAATGGTTCCAATATAACTTACGACGTAAATTATTATCAGTAACAGGGTAAGTCACAAATTACTGAACATGGAATGTTTATTTTTAGCTTTCTTCGAATTTACCCCTCATATCTCGTACCAGCATATCTACATATGGATATATTATTGCCGATTATATTATTAATAATTTATATAATACTTAGACACTATTATAACTCACAATTCTAATTTATTTATTACAATTTGTCTTTACTATCCAACACTTAAATTGAATCTCCACTCTTATCGACGAAGTCGCGGCTATTTATATAAAGCCAGCTCTGTACCAGAAGAAGCTTCGGGTACTCCCTCTCTATGACTCATACACCGCACCGCGATCACTCCAGCAGTTTCGAGAAGCAGTGCGTTTGTCTCAATATGGCCAGCGCTAGACTGGGTAAGAGAGTAAACAGAGACGGCTGTAGCCTCTTTATGTCGCTGTATCCTCTTGACATCCTCTTTAGTAATGCTTTATTCTTTTTATGTCATCCTCTTTACATATTCTTTATGTCCACTTTATGTCTCCTTTATGTCCTCTTTATATCTCCTTTATGTCCTCTTTATGTCCTCTTTATATCCTCTTTATGTCTCCTTTATGTCCTCTTTATATCTCCTTTATGTCCTCTTTATGTCCTCTTTATGTCCTCTTTATGTCCTCTTTATGTCCTCTTTATGTCCTCTTTATGTCCTCTTTATGTCCTCTTTATGTCCTATTTATGTCCTCTTTATGTTCTCTTTATGTCCCCTTTATGTCCTCTTTATGTCCTCTTTATGTCCTCTTTATGTCCTCTTTATGTCCTCTTTATGTCCTCTTTATGTCCTCTTTATGTCCTCTTTATGTCCTCTTTATGTCCTCTTTATGTCCTCTTTATGTCCTCTTTATGTCTTCTTTATGTCATCTTTGTCTTCTTTATGTCATCTTTATATCCTATTTATGTCCTTTTTATGTCCTTTTAATGCCCTCTTTATGTCCTTTTTATGCCCTCTTCATGTCATCTTTATGTCCTCTTCATGTCATCTTTATGTCCTCTTTATGTCCTCTTTATGTCTTCTTTATGTTCTCTTTATGTCCTCTTTATGTCCTCTTTATGTCCTATTTACGTTCTTTTTATGTCCTCTTTATGTCCTCTTTATGTCCTTTTTATGTTCTTTTTATGTGTTCTTTATGTCCTCTTTATGTCCTCTTTATGTCCTCTTTATGTCCACTTTATGTCCTCTTTATGCCCTCTTTATGTCCTCTTTATGTCCTCTTTATGTCCTCTTTATGTCCTCTTTATGTCCTCTTTATGTCCTCTTTATGTCTTCTTTATGTCCCCTTTATGTCCTATTTATGTCCTCTTTATATCCTATTTATGTCCTCTTTATGTACTCTTTATGTCCTCTAGACCTCTTTATGTCCTCTTAATGTCCTCTTTTGTCTCTTTAGTCAACGAAACAAAAACACAGACCACTACTTGCAAAATCTAAAAAATTAGAAAAGGACTATATCATGTCAAATGCTATTTAAATACAAGATTTCATCGTAAGACTACGCAAAAGCGAAAGTATTGATTAAAAATTCCAAAGACAGCATGTGAAAAATACGAGGTTCATACAAAAGATATTTTTGAATGTTTTATACCAGGTTGGTATAAAAATTATTGTTAAGTGTTGTTAATATTTCCGAATTGGAACAGAAAGGTTATTTAACTAAATAAAAATGTTCTTGGTATATTCAGTCATTAATTTTATTTTATATCGTTATCACATCACTACGTATTTTTCGGAAAACTTTGTTTCCATCTTCGGGTGCCGTCAAAATTTAAAAACATTAAAAAAAACACATGGGGACGATTACAAACAGTTTAAAATTATCCTTATTCAAAGTTTTTAACGTTACAAGCCTTCTTCCAGGATAAAGGAGTCCCACTGAGCCCAATATGATTTAATTACTAAAGAGAGTTTCGGTACTTCTTGCCAAGTAGGTCGACGATTTTCCTCTTTCCATTGTCACATCTTCTTTAAAACAGGAGACTTCTCTTGTTCTTCCATAAGTTTGACAGAAGCCCACTCATCGCTGACAACCGTCGTTCGTCGTACTGTAACTTCTTTAGCAGATGTGGCCAACCCCTTTTCAAACACCTTCTTTATATTTCAAACGTTCCACTATAACAGGCGTTCCTTTCTCTACAGTTTCTCTTGCAACCGCGTTATTCTTATACTTTTACATCTATCAGGAACCACCGTTCCTTCCTGTACAGCCTCTGGCACGGTTTTTTGATTCGTAGTGTTCTTTGGGCGTTTGCCCATTTCACCGCAATTCCAGCACCTAATAGTCTTCGGCTGCTTCTTAATAAAGATTTTAATAAATTGGTCTAATTTATTTCCCTGTTCTTCCTCTTTTAAAGTCACTGTATCCACCAGACGCCAGCGTAGCCGCTCTATATTCAAGAGCAGCAGACAAGATATCAACCAATGTTTCGTGACACCTGCTTCAAGCGTTTATGGCCATATCGCATGTTTAGTCTCTTTTTGAGTAGTTCAAAATCATCTGTCTTTTCCACGGGTATTGTTTGATGGACATTTAAAGCATCTCCTCGAAGGACAATGGTCAAATTTACTGCCTTCTTTCTTTTAGACCATTCGTTCGTTTTCCCAGCTGTTTCGAACTGTTGGTCCATGACATCTTCCCATCAAAAGTGAGGCTTTAACATGGGCAGAATTTACAACTTCTTCCAATTTAAACTTTGACTCTACCTCATGACACTTTATTTCACCGACTTTGGCCTGTTCTGTATGTTCCAGTTCTTCTAACTTCTTTCTCATTTCTTTTATTATCTCCCCAAAGAAAGACATTATTTTCTCCTCAACAGAAGACATTTTATTTCTTATAGAAGATATATTGTTTTCCAAGTCGGAAGAAATTTCATCTTTTAAAGAAGAAACTTAATTTCTAATAAAGAAATTTCTTTTTTTACGAAGACATATCACACGAAACCTTTTCTTCTAAGAAAGAAACTTTACTTTCTAAGAAAGAAATATCGTTTTTTTATTAAGGAAACATTAGAAAAAACTCTAGTATCTAAAGAAGAAATGTCAGAAGAAATATCGGTTTTTAAAGAAGATATATCGTTTTTCATATCGGAAATTGATGAAATTATATAGGATGAATCATCCGAAAATAGATACGTTTTCGAATCCAAAGCTTTTTAAGTCGTTCTGTTAGCTCTGATTTCTTTCCTGTCGTCTCCAGTTCACGTTCTTCTAATTCTCGACGCAATTTAGTCACTTTTAAATCACACAGTTTTTTAGCCATTTTTGTCCACTATTTAGTTACAATTCCACTTCTGACACCAATGTAACGTTTGTTTAATTTATTTATACTTTATTTATTTAAAACACTTTATTTACAATTTATTTATAACGTACTAATTAATTTATATAATTATACACTATTATAACTGTATTTATTACAATTTGTCTTTACTATCAAACACAAATTGAATCTCCACTCCTATCGGCAAAGTCGCGGCTATTTATATGAAGCCAGCTCTGTACCAGAACACTCTAGGCGACCCAGAAGTTTCGGAAACTCCCTCTTTATGACTCATACGCCGCACCGCGATCACTCCGGAAGTTTCGAGAAGCAGTGCGTTTGTTTCATAGAGGTACAATACTAATGGAGATGCCATAAGGCAATTGTTTTGCATATGATACGTTTTATTAAAAATTACCCCATTGGGCGTGGCTTAAATGGATGACTAAGCAGGGTCGTATTCAAATATAATTAAAGTCCGTATGCAGAATTGCAACTTTTAAATGACTTACTTACCTAAGATTTGTTTCAACATGATCGATTCGAAATTAATTTGATGACATTGCGCAATTATGACTTCTACACTATTTACTATTATTTATTAACCGTTTTACAACCAAGCCAATGCCAAGACCATAAAAGAGATTAATATTATTATATTGTTCTGTCTTCGCCGAAACCGTCCGATATATGACCTGTGTGATCGAAAATCAACGTTCGAATAACACTGTGCATCATATTTGTTAATCTCTTTGTGCTTTTAAACTAAAACCCCAACTACGATTTTTCGTTCAAGGACTCTCTTGTCTTGATCAAAGCTGCCAATGTCAAAATCTGACAATGAGGAGAATTATGACATCAAATTACCAAACCAAAAACCAAACCACTACGTGAATTGTGAATAAATATATTTCAGTAAAAATACAGCCGAGTTTGTAGAAAGGACAATTAATTACTTTTCAATGTAAAATATGTAGGTCTTTCTGCCGCAAATGACATACATTAAAAATATGACCCGCTACATTTAAAAGTCTAAAAAGACCAAAAATTCAGCTAGGTATGACTTTATGATTAAAAGTAGATGGAAGAAAACCATGATCAAAACTACTCTGTCAAAACCAATCGGAACTAAAAAGATAATAGCTGCTGGTTTTATTTATGTTTGAGATAATTAATTATATAGGGTAGGTACATATATTACTAAAATTGCAAGCAAGTACTTACTAAAGATTTCTATAATTGGTACCTATGTATAT